TCTGCAGCTTTCCCACTTTTCATGCTTTTCAGAGTTTGTGTAATATCATCTACACAGATGGCGACATTTGTACCCTTCTTCTCTACAGGCAAGTCTTCCTGCGGTTGCGCGGGGTTAAGGAGTTCCTCACAGTACTCCCTTCATCGCCGAACAATGTCATCATCCGTAGTAAGAGGGTGTCTAGACCTCTCCTTCAAGAATCTGAGATTGCCGTTCTTTTCACCTCAGAGCTGGCGGATCGTCAATCAGAATTTTTTATCTGCCGTTTGGAAATTCGACTCCAGCACCTCATCGAACTTCTCCCAGGAATCAGCTTTGGCTTTTGCCGCTGCTTGGCTGCCGCCTTGCGAGCCTCGAAATATCGCACGCGTGTAGATGGCTCTTTGTTTCCAAGCCATCTCATGAACGCTGCTTTCTTCTCTTTAGGTGCCGGTTGTACCTCTCGTGTCCACTATGAAGTTCTTTCCTGTCCTCCAGGCGGCAGCCCAGCCCGTTTATATCCGCAGCATTCGGCGGCAGTCTCCAATATGTCATTCTTAAAGAGCTGCCACTCGGTTTCAACATCAGTTGTTATCACCGGGATCTGTTCAAACCGTCGTGCGATGTTGTTTGCAAATTTCGCTCTCGTGTCCACTGAAGATTTTGTTCCCAATTCATTCTCCGCTTGCTTCTTCATCCAAATCTTCGTATGGCACTCAATATCTTACAGTGCAGCATGCCCATGCCAACAATAAGATGATGATTGATTGATAGCTCTGTGCCTCTCTTAACGGGAGGAACATCCATTACTGAGCGTCTTAAATGAGACGATACGAATATCAAATGGATCATCGACTTCTGTGCACAACCTTTTTGGTACCAGGTGCACTGATGCAGTATCCGATGCTCGAGAAATGTGTTCATAATGGACAATCCGTTGTTTGTACAAAACCCAACAACTTCATACCGCTATTGTTGAGGTCGCTAGGTTCTTTTTTTCCAACCTCGCCGTTGCACTTTCCAGCGCCTGCTCCGACATGCGCATTAAAATTACCTATCAATATGAGGCACTCTGCATTCGAAACTTCGGACAGAGCACGCTGCACTTCCTCAAGGAAGGTTTCATATTCTCCCTCTAAATTGGGTGCATAGACCTGTACCAAGGACGTCGATTTAGCCTTTTGTGGCTTCAGTCGGAGGATTACGCTTCCGTTGACAGGCTTCCAATCAAGGATTCTATCTGCTAGGTTGGGTTCTACCAGAACACCAACACATGCCTGAGCGCGTATCGTGATA